GCTGGGATGACAGGTGTGAGCCACCGCGCCCGGCCTCATCAGAGCTCTTGATACTGATTCACTGCCATGAGAACAGTATGGGGGAGCCCGCTCCCTTGATTCAATTCTCTCCCACCGGGTCCCTCCCACAACACGTGGGAATTATGGGAGCTACAATTCAGGATGAGATTTGGGTGGGGACACAGACAAAGGATATGAGAGAATTGTTTTAACAGACGTCCGAAGGGCAGACAGGAGCCGGCCCACAGGTGGGGGCTGTGGTGTCATGAATTTTCGCTGAGTGTCGTGGTTCATGCCGGTCATCCCAGTGACCCGGAAGGCTGAGGTGGGAGGATCACTCGGGGCTGGGAGTTTGAGACCAGTTTGGGCAATATAGTGAGACCCAATCTCTATGAAATGCATAAAAAAGCCAGGCACAGTCATGTGCCCGTGTAGTCTCAGCTACTCTGGAGGCTGAGGCAGGAGGATTGCTTGAGGCCAGGAGTTCAAGGCTGTAGTGAGCTGTGATCATACCACCCGACTCCGACCTGGACAACAGCGTGAGACACCATCTCTAAAACCAAAAAGTCTTCATTGGGTCTTTGTCGCTGGTTCCTGGCACAGCCCCTCAAACCCTTGGAAGAGCATCTTTTCTTACTCATTATGAGCTTTTTTTTTTTTTTTTTCTTTTGAGACGGAGCCTTGCTCTGTCACCCAGGCTGGAGTGCAGTCACGATCTCGGCTCATCGCAGCCTCCACCTCCCGGGTTCAAGCAATTCTTGTGTCTCAACCTTCTGAGTAGCTGGAATTCCAGGCACCCACCACCAAGCTCAGCTTTTGTTTTTTTTTTTTGAGACAGAGTCTCACTCTGTTGCCCAGGCTGGAGCGCAGTGGCACAATCTCAGCCCACTGCAACCTCCACCTCCTGGATTCAAGCAGTTTTCCTGCCTCAGCCTCCCAAGTAGTTGGAATTACAGGCATGAGCCACCATGCCCAGATAATTTTTTTTCTTTCTTTTTTTTTTTTTTTCAGTAGAGACGGGGTTTCTCCGTGTTGGTCAGGCTGGTCTCGAACTCTGGACCTCAGGTGATCTGCCCACCTTGGCTTCCCAAAGTGCTGGGATTATAAGCATGAGCCACCATGTCCAGCCTATTTCTGTGTTTTTATTAGGGATGGCATCTCACCATGTTGGCCAGGCTGGTCTCAAACTCCTGACCTCATGATCCACCCGCCTCGGCCTCCCAAAGTTCTGGGATTACAGGTGTGAGCCACTGCGCCCGGCCGGAGCTCCTTGACCATAGCTGAATTTACACTTCGATAAGATGACTCAAGGCCGGGCCTAGATAGCTTCAGGATGGGGGCTGTTTCAGAGGAGCCAGCCATGTGATTGAAGTTTGGAGCTGTCAGTCAGTCCCTGACAACCTGTGGGGAGGGGACAGAGGCTGGAGAGTGGATCACCAGTGGCCAGTGATGTGTCCAGTCACGCCTGCATAACAAAATCTGGGTAAAAATTGTGAAACAGCGAGGCTGAGAGCCTGCTTTCTTGCTGGTGTCTCAGGTGGGGAGAAAAACCCCTTTCCTTCGTTCAGTGCCTGCTCATTCTACGGGCTAGGTGCCCAGAGCAAACTTAGAGCAGAAGATAACCTTCAGGCCAGGCGAGGTGGCTCACAGCTGTAACCCCAGCACGTTGGGAGGCTGAGGTGGGCAGATCATCACCTGAGGTCAGGGGTTGGAGACCAGCCTGGCCAGCATGGTGAAACCCCGTCTCTACTAAAAATTCGAAAATTAGCTGGGCGTGGTGGTGCGCGCCTGTAATCACAGCTACCCGGGAGGCTGAGGCAGGAGAATCACTTGAACCCGGGAGGTGGAGGTTGCAGTGAGCCATGATCACACCACTGCACTCCAGCCTGGGCGATAGACCAGAAAAAAAAGATGCTTGGCCGGGCGCGGTGGCTCAAGCCTGTAATCCCAGCACTTTGGGAGGCTGAGGCGGGTGGATCACGAGGTCAAGAGATCGAGACCATCCTGGTCAACATGGTGAAACCCCGTCTCTACTAAATATACAAAAAAAATTAGCTGGGCATGGTGGCGCGTGCCTGTAATCCCAGCTACTCAGGAGGCTGAGGGAGGAGAATTGCCTGAGCCCAGGAGGCGGAGGTTGCGGTGAGCCGAGATCGCGCCATTGCACTCCAGCCTGGGTAACAAGAGCGAAACTCCGTCTCAAAAACAAAACAAAAAAAACAGATGCTTTTCAGAAAAGGGCAAAATTGTGACTGTCATACGGTTGTAAAAATGAGCACATTAACGATTTAATTTAGCTGACGAGAGAACCAGGCAGATGTTTTCAGTGACTGCAAAGGGAATCTGAAGGACGGAGGCATTTATAGATGGGGCGTATTGAAATGGAAATGCAAATGGAGGCAGATTTGGGGTGTCCTGGCAGGAAAAGGGAGGAAGGGGGAGGAGGCAGCCGCACTTCCGCCAGCCGGGACGGAGTCTCCGGGTTTCTGGGCATCATTTTGCACGGCTCCAAGTTACCCACGGCTTGCAGAGTTGTAAAGTAACTCCCCAGGAGTCAGAGTCGGAGAACCTAGAGGAACGTTCTCTGGTCGTCATGATGCAAGGGCGATCCACTGAGTCACACATCTGTCACTACAGTGACGAGGAAGCCCCTGCGGGGGCGGGTAGCAAATGCTGGAAAAATGGATTGATGGCATGAGATTTAAAAAATAGTTCAAGGCAGCCGAGGAGGGAGCGGGGGCGGTCCATGGCCAAGACGGGCCTGAGAGTGACAGCCACGTCCTGGTGCCACACAGAGCAGCCCCTCAAAGGAAAGGCAGGAAAGCCGGGTGCGGTGGCTCACGCCTGTGATCCCAGCACTTTGAGAGACTGAGGCGGGCGGATCACCTGAGGTTGGGAGATGGAGACCAGCCTGACCAACATGGAGAAACCCCGTCTCTACTAAAAATACAAAACTAGCCGGGTGTGGTGGTGCATGCCGGTAGTCCCAGCTACTGGGGAGGCTGAGGCAGGAGAATCACTTGAGCCCGGGAGGCGGAGGTTGCAGTGAGCCAAGATTGTGCCGCTGCACTCCAGCCTGGGAGACAAGAGCGAGAGTCCTCAAAAAAAAAGGAAAAGCAGGAACGCGCCTGCTGCGGGGGGCCGGGGCAGTGGCCCACGAGGGTGGTTCTTCCTGTTCGCGTTCCTTCGTGTGTCCCACATTTCCTGCATGTTCTGAGTCGTTCAGTTTCTGGGCTGGAGCCAGGAGACCTGGGCTGCAGACACAGTCCTCTGCTGACTTGCTGTGTGCCTTTGGGCAAGCCCTCACCCTCTCTGGGCCCCTGTTTTCCTGCTTTACAATGTCAGTTGATGGCACAAGATGCTCGCTGGGGTGGTCCTGGCACCACTGTCTGGGATTCTGGCAGTTCATGAGAAGGAGAAACCTGAGTGTAGGGAAAAGTCCTGAGTCAGTCACAGCTCTGCAGGCAGGGGTGTGGGTGTGTGTGTGTGTGTGTGTGTGTGTGTGTGTTCACACACCCCCGCTGGAGAGAGCCAAGAGTACTGTCAGCTATAAGGCTGCCGGAGGGGCGAGGGGCTCCCGGGGTTCACCGTGGCGCGCCCCACTTCCCAGTGTTGCTACACAGGCCTGGATTATGTGGCGCTCACACTGAGCGAGCAAACTTCAAAACAAATCATCCAGTCTGTGCTTTTTGAGATAGGCGAGGGGGCAAAAGGCTTTGTCCTTGTTTGGATGAAACAGAGGCTGGAGGGAAAATCAAAGGCTTCTTTTTCGTGGACCGTCCGGGACGGGTAGGCACGTCTGCCCGGGGGTCTCTCGACCTGCAAGAAGGTCCCAATACCTGGAAGAGGGAGTGCGCCTGGAAAATTAATAAAGACAGAGAGAAAAAGCGAGGCGTCTGAAGGGCTGATAGGCTGTGCCTAAACAGCAAATTTTATTTTTCAAAGGCCAGGAATAAATACACTTTCTTGGCTCTGGTTTATGTCATAGCAAGAGGAAATGCAAATGTATGCCTCACATGGCCTATACAATAGAGAAGTCAGATACACAATCAGTGATTGTAAAAAGTAACAGAATTTCCTGTAATCACAAAGCTTGTTTACATCCAAACATTATTCACAAAGCTTGTTTACATCCAGACATCATTCCTCCTGGCTGCAGGTATTTCTGGTTTGACCTCGTTTTAGAACTGAGATGTGAAAAGGTTTTCTGGTTTTGCTCATCAGAATATCTTTTAATCAGATTCTCCTTTGTCTACTCCTGACTCAACTTAACTCAACTTCCCCATTCAGGAATCTTTGAGTCAGGAATCAAAGCCATCCCTTATGGTGGCATTTGCTTTGCAAATATCGACAGTTAAACCATTAGGCAGTCAGGTAAGTAAAGAAAAGGTTAAAACTTATTCTTAAAGAGAGTCATAAAAAGGTTAAAAGCAGGAACTGGTTGCTGGTAGGGGGTTACTCGGTCTAGCAGCAAGGCATAGTTTTAGGCCCAAACGATATTGTGGTTGATATTAGAAACTGATCATTCATCTTTCAGTTCCTATATTTCCGGATAGCTCGACTGTCTCCAGTAGGAAACTGTGTTTGGGATCAAACTCACCGTATAGTGAGACTCACGCCTTTTAGGGGTCTCACACGGGAATGTTCCCCACACTTCTTGGCTTCGGAGGCGCTGGGGTCTGGGCAGGCTCCTCAGCCCTGTGGCCTGTGTTTGGCCCTGGGGCCGAGGCTGGCACAGGGCTTGCAGTGGGGTTGGCATGTGGCAGGGAGGCCTGCTCCCCAAGGACAGGAGAGGGGGCCGGCCTGTTTTGGCTGCTCCGTCAGCTGTCAGTGTCTCCTGCAAGGCTTTGAAGCAGGAATGCTGTAGCTGTGTGTCTGCGCCCTGGGAGGGGCGGGTCCCTGAGGAGGTGCCCCTGCATTGCCAGGGAGGGGGATGTGTCCAGGCGGGACCTGGTGCCCTCAGAAGTTTGCTTCTCAGCCGTTTGCTTGGCTTGTTACAGGTTTGTCACGGAGGCTGGGTCGCTAGGGCGGGCCAGGTTTCCAGGCTAGCCCACAAGGTGGGTGTGCGTGGGGGCCCTGGGAAGGGGTGGGACGGAGTTGGAGTGGGCTGGAGCCTGCCCTGCAGTGAGGTCCAAGCAGTGGGAGTGGGGACGGGGCGGGGCTGTCCCCTGCCGGAACCTGCCCTCTTCCCATGATCAAAATCGGGAGCCCCCCCATGCCTGCCGTGAAGTTTGAGTGGCATGACAGGGTGGCAGGGAGTCCCCACGGGCCAAGGGCAGGAGCAGCACTTGTCACCTCTGTGCCCGGCAGCCAGGGCTTGTTGGGCGACCGGGAGACAGGTGGCTGGCATGCCCCAAATTCTCACCTCGCGGAGCAGCCCTTCCTTCTGACCAGCTGCCTGTGGTTTGGCCAGAGCTTTGGGTGTAGACAATTGTGTTTCCCTTCTCACTGTCACAGCAGGCAAGGAGCGGTCCCTGAAGGGTGTGAGCGCGGGGTGGCAGCCTCGGTCTCACTGCTGTGCTTCCCCCCAGTCCCTAGGAAGCTGCCCCCTGGCCTGGGGAGGGCTGGGAGGAGGCACCAGGGCTCCTCCCGGAGAAGGCAGGCCCGTGGGCCTCAGCTGGGACATGCCGGGCCTCCCCTGCCTGGCACCCCGGGCCCTGCACCCTGCCAGGGAGGCCAGCCTGATCCTGGGTCTGCACCTGGAGCCCTGCCAGCTGGCTCCACCACCTCCACCCATCCGCCTCCTGCCCTCAGAAGCCGTGGTGTGGTCGCCCGGATCAGGTGATTGTGGAAAAACGCGGAGGACCGAAGCCCAGGGGAGGCTGTGGGGGGGTGGCTGGCAGCAGGTCCTGCCCCTGGTGTGAGAGGTTGTGCGTCCGTGGAGGGTGCAGTGAAATCGGTCGTCTACACTGGAGTAGGAAGGAGGAAGGAGTGTCCACGAGGAACTTGCTGGAGTCTGACGGCCCCAAAACGGCAGGTGCAGAGGCGACAGGACTGGTGTGGGCGCACGTGTGCATATATGTCTGTGTGCACGTGTCTTTGTGCCTGGGAGGCTGAGGCAGGCGGATCACGAGGTCAGGAGATCGAGACCATCCTGGCCAACATGGCGAAACCCCGTCTCTACTAAAAAATACAAAAATTAGCTGGGCGTCGTGGCGCACGCCTGTAGTCTCAGCTACTTGGGAGGATGAGGCAGGAGAATTGCTTGAACTCGGGAGGCGGAGGTTGCAGTGAGCCAAGATCGCGCCACTGCACTCCTGGTGGCTGGGAACAGAGTGAGACTCTGTCTCAAAAGAAAAAAAAAAAAAAGACATCCCAGCCTGGCCAGCACGGTGAAACCTTGTCTCTACTAAAAATACAAAAATTAACCGGCATGGAGGTGTGTGCCTGTAATTCCAGCTAGGCGGGAGGCTGAGGCAGGAGAATCGTTTGAACCTGGGAGGCGGAGGTTGCAGAGAGCGGAGACCGTGCCATTGTACTCCAGCCTGGGCGACAAAGTGAGACCTTGTCTCAAAAATAAATTTAAAAAAATAATATCAGGCCAGGCGTGGTGGCTTACGCCTGTAATCCCAGCACTTTGGGAGGCCAAAGTGGGTGGACCGCAAGGTCAGGAGTTCAAGACCAGCCTGGCCAACAAAGTGAGACCCCCACCTCTACTAAAAATACAAAAGTTAGCTGGGCGTGGTGGTGTGCACCTATAATCCCAGCCACTCAGGAGGCTGAGGCAGGAGAATTGCTTGAACCCGGGACTCAGAGTTCAAGGTGCAGTGAGCTGAGATTGTTCCACAGCACTCTAGCCTGGGCAACAGAGCAAGGCTACCTCTTGGGGGGTGGGAAAAAAAAAAAAAAAGACATCAACATTGAAAGCGACCAGGCCAGTTGTCCTGTAGACCGTCTCTCCTAGATTTGTCAGATTTCCTTCCACCATGATGTCATTTCTTTCTTTGTTGTTTTTGAGACAGCGTCTCAGTCTTTCGCCCGGGCTGGGGGGCAGTGGTGGGATCATGGCTCACTGCAGACTCAACCTCCTGGGCTCAAGTGATCCTCTCCCCTCAGCCTCCTGAGTAGCTGAGACTACAGGTGCACACCACCACACCTGGCTAATTCCCCTCCCCACCCCATCTTCTTGCAGAGACAGGGGTTTTGCTGCATGACCCAGGCTGGTCTCTAACTCCTGCCTCCTGAGTAGCTGGGATTACAGGCACGCACCACCATGCCCAGCTAATTTTTTTTTTTGTATCTTTAGTAGAGACGGGGTTTCACCATGTTGACCAGGATGGTCTCGATCTCTTGACCTTGTGATCCACCCGCCTCAGCCTCCCAAAGTGCTGGGATTACAGGCTTGAGCCACCGTGCTCGGCTTTTTCTTTCTTTTTTTTTTTTTTCCGAGACAGTCTCTGTTGCTGGGGTTACAGTGGCGCGATCTCGGCTCACTGCTGTCTGCTTCTGCTGGGTTCTAGCGATCCTCCTGCCTCAGCTTCCTGAGTTGCTGGGATTACAGGCAGGCACCACCACGCCTGGCTAATTTTTGTATTTTTAGTAGAGACGGGGGTTTCACCATGTGGGCCAGGCTGGTCTCAACCTCCTGACCTCAGGTGATCCACCCGCCTTGGCCTCCCAAAGTGCTGGGATTACAGGCGTGAGCCGCCGCACCCGGCCTAAGCCACTGTGCCTGGCTGCGTTTTTGCCTTTGAGCAGCCTTGGGCCTTGTGGAGTGTCCTGTTCTGCATCATCCTTCCTTCACCTGTGGCCCCATCATCCACCCACCATCTTGGCCTGAAACATTTCTTGAAAATCAGCCGAACATACATGTGGGGCTGTTTGGGGCTTTCTGTTCCATCCCACTGACCCGTATGTCTCTCTGCGCCAAGCCCCACTGTCCTGATGAGTGTAGTTTTATAATCAGATGGTCTTCCAACTTTCATCTTTTTCGAAACTGTTTTTGCCATTCTGGGCCCTTTTTCGTTTCAAATAAATTTGAGAATCAGTTTGTTCATGTCTGTGAAAAAGCCTGCTGGGATTTTGGTTGGGTTTGTGTTTCAATCTATAGATGGATTCGGAAGAATTTGACATTGTAACAATGTTGTGTCTTTTAATCCAGGAGTGTGATGTATTTCCCTGTAAACTTAGGTCCCTTGACTTTTTTTCAGGAATGCTCTGTAGTTTTCTGTGTAAAGGTTACCTCTTTTGTTATGCCCCTCAGTATTTTGTCATTATTGGTACTATTGTAATCGTCTGATGGGTTCTACCTGCCCGCTGCACAGAAAAACCAATTCACTGAGACCATGGGATTGCAGTAAAGAAACAGTTTCACTGATATGAGGCCAGCCCACACAGAAGTGGAGTTATGACTCAAATCAGTCTCCTTGAAAATTCAGAGGCTAGGGTTTCTCAAGGATATTTTGGCAGGCAGGGGGGCCAGGGACCGGGTGCTGTGGACCGGGTGAGGATGCAATCGTAGGACCGTAGAAAATGTGGAATTCACACGTGGCACCAGAGTTTTCTTTGAATTTCTTTTCTCTTTTTTTCTTTTTTTCAAGGCAGAATCTCCTTGTGTTTCCCATGTCTCCCGTGATTGTGCAGTGGTGGAATCATGTCCCATGGCAGCCCTGACCTCCTGGGCTCAAGCAGTCCTCTCACTCAGCCTCCCAAGTAGCTGGGAGTACAGATGTGCACTCCCATGCCCAGCTAATCTGTATTTTTCGTAGATATGAAGTCTCATACGTTGCCTAGGCTAGTCTCAAACCTCTGGGCTTAAGCGGTCCTCCTGCATTGGCTTCTCAAAGTGCTGGGATTCTAGCTGCGAGCCACCAAACCTGGCTAGGAGGCTTTTCTTAACAAATCTGACTTTTTTTTTTTTTTCCCATACTAAGAAACATTAAAATTTTAAAGAATTATAACCAAATTCTTGCTCATTTGTTCTAAATTGATACTTACATCTTTATTGTTAATTTCTTTTTTTTTAATTGCATTTTAGGTTTTGGGGCACATGTGAAGAACATGCAGGATGGCTGCATAGGGACACACGTGGCACTGTGATGTGCTGCCTTCCTGCCCATCACCTGTATCTGGCATTTCTCCCCATGCTGTCTCTCCCCAACTCCCCACCCCCCACTGTCCCTCCCGTATTTCCCCCCTACAGACCCCAGTGTGTAGTGCTCCCCTTCCCGTGTCCATGAGTTCTCATTGTTCAACACCCACCTATGAGTGAGAACATGTGGTGTTTGATTTTCTGCTCTTGTGTCAGTTTGCTGAGAATGATGGTTTCCAGGTTCATCCATGTCCCTACAAAGGACACGAACTCATCGTTTTTGATGGCTGCGTAGTATTCCATGGTGTGTATGTACCACATTTTCCCTGTCCAGTCTATCATCGATGGGCATTTGACTTATGTACTAGATAGTGGGCTGTTCAGGTTATCAGTTTCTTCTTGACTGAGCTTTGGTAGCTTCTGTCTTTCAGGAAGTGTATCGGGTTTTATCTCGATTGTTGAATGTCTTGACTTAAGGGCATTTGTAATATCCCTTCATTATCCTTTCAATGTCTGTAGTATTTGTAGCGATGCCTCCTGTCTCAAAATGTAGATTTAGCTTCACCTTTGTATTTTAGGACATTTAATTTGTAAACTTTACTGTGTTCTGATTGGTGAGTTGAAACATACATGCCTTTATATAGGAATAACGCCTTTCCCAAAAGACCCTAAATAGCTTGGTTTTTACTAATTACACTATGTGTCAGCAGGATATTAACATACGTCACAGGACAGATGTTTTATGACACCCAGATGATAGGGGATTTGCAAAACGATGTGAAATGAAGAATTTTTCTTTCTTCTCTTTCTTTTTTCTTGAGACAGGGTTTCACTCCTGTTGCCCAGCCTGTGGTGCAGTGGCATGATCTCGGCTCACTGCATCCTCCACCTCCCAGACCTCAATCTCCTGAGTAGCTGGGACTAAAGGTGCTTACCACCACACCCGGCTGATTTTTGTCGTTTTAGTAGAAATGGGGCTTTGCCATGTTGCCCAGGCTGGTCTTGAACCCCTGGCCTCAAGTGATCCGCCCACCTTGGCCGCCCAAAGTGCTGGGATTGCAGGCATGACCCACCACACCCAGCAAAAGGTAGAATTTTTAGCATGCTCTTTTTTTTTTTTTTTTTTTGAGACAGAGTTTCGCTCTTGTTGCCCAGGCTGGAGTGCAATGGCGCGATCTCGGCTCACCACAACCTCCGCCTCCTGGGTTCAGGCAATTCTCCTGCCTCAGCCTCCTGAGTAGCTGGGATTACAGGCACGTGCCACCATGCCCAGCTAATTTTTGTATTTTTAGTAGAGACGGGGTTTCACCATGTTGACCGGGATGGTCTCGATCTCTTGACCTTGTGATCCACCCGCCTCGGCCTCCCAAAGTGCTGGGATTACAGGCTTGAGCCACCGCGCCCGGCAGCATGCTCTTTATACTGTAATGATGATGGTTGTGAACATTTACTGCTTACCAGTCACATGCCAGGTGCCATCCTGGGCACTTGACTGCATCGTCTCTCTAAATCCTACATTCTCTCTATGAGGAAGGTGCTGCTGTTGTCCGTATTTTATAAGCTGAGGAAAGGAGACACGGGTTAGACAGGTGCCAAAGGCTCTCCGGGTGGTCCGGCTGCAGGATGCACACACGCTCTGCTCCGGGGACTTAAATGTATGCCCTTCTAACTCCAGCGCCTTTCCTTCCACACTAGGCTGTTTTGCAGCAGTCGCGGGGTTAAAGTTAAGGATGGACACTGTTGATAGAGA